CATAAGAGGAGAGAGTATATTTTTAAAGATGCAAAAGAATACGATTACCAAATATTTTAGAGCTAAATCATATGACTTATATGGTCTACTCAATGATAATGTAGTCCTTTACGGCTGCAAAGAACAGTCGCTGAAGGAAATGCACCTATCTACATTAACTCTACCGAATTGGCAGTTAACAAGGAAATCACAGGTTTACTTCTTCCTATCCAATATGGAAATAAGGAGCTTCCTACTTGTATCTACTAAATATCCTCTATTTATTTACAGATGCAAAAAAAGCAGCTCAAATTATGTACCACACGCATCCTAGAGTTTTAGTTTCAGAAGAACAATGACGGTCATGCTGCCTCACTGTGCTATGTCACAGGTAAGGCTCACAGAGGTTAAAGGAAGTGTCCAGAGTCACTGAGCTAAGTAAGGGACAAATCCAGGGCTGGAACCTGGGGCATTTTCCATTATCCTAGGCTTGATCTAAGGTCAATGCTATCTAAGGCAACACAGTTTTGCAGTTCTATCAACAGAGCTAGATAAAGCTACAACACTCATTCTGGTTCACACCAACAAGACCATCTGAGGTCATCATATTTCTAGCTCCAAAGCTTGATCAGCGTGTTACAGAAGCTCCATTAAACTGCAAGGGGAGGGAAAACTTAAAAAAAAAAAAAAAAAAAAAAAACCAAACAAAAAAAAATAATAACTGTTTAGGGAAAGAAAAAAAAAAAGAAGAAGAAGAAGACAACGTTCTGTGCATCATCTGGAATGTTCATCAGCCGGGACAGACTTTGCGAAGGCAAGTCACGTGCCCAGTGGGAGCACTACATCATTTTCTTTGTAAATTGTGCTTCCTTGGAGGGATACAGAATGCAGAACTGCCTTCTCCAAACACGGAGATGTTTGGTACTGGGAGAAGTCTTAAAAAAGGGAGTTGGGAATCAGCTCCCTCACCAAGGAATCTGCTCCCCAGTAACTGGATGCACCATATTTGCAGCCATCCCCGTGGCTTGAGCTGGGGCGGCGCATTTTTGTCAATCCCCTTTAATTAATCTTGCCGTAAGTCCTATGGTGGGGTGGGCGAACTCTCAAACGTTAAACAGTGGAATGACTCGCAGGGTGGCTTTTCCCAAGCACCCCCAACCCCAATTAAAGAGCTGTATTTGGTTTGGGTTTCCTCAAATGGCGCTCTTGTTAACACTCATCAAACACAGGAAAAATAAAACAGCAATTTAACTGCGTTCACAGTGTGAAAGGCTTGTGCAAATAATCAGCACATTTCTAACTGGTTCGTAATAGGCAGAGTGCAAAAAACAAATGACCAGATTTATACCACTGGGCAGGTCTGAAAGCAACATTACAGCTGAAATACAGTCATTGACAATTTAGAGCAAGCCTTTCCGTGAATAATTGTTTACATAACGGTGAAGAGCGCTCGCGCAGCACAACTGGGATCCATTTACAATGTGTTAAGCAAAGAACGCATGTTTACAAAAGAGTTTGAGTTCGTTTTGGGGAGAAAAGAATCGTGGCACTCATGCCAACAAAAGCAGAGCAGTATGTACAGTTAGTAAATCTTTTCTGAGCTGCAAAATCGGTGGCAAGATGTTTGAGCCCGTAAACTACGTCAGCATCAGTCACTCTCATTAAATTGGTGTGTGAAGGTAGCATTCTCAGACAGCAGGTTGCTCCATTCTCTCTCTCTCTCTCTCTCTCTCTCTTTTTAGATCAGCCAAATAATGAGCTGGGGGTGAAGTTCCTTAACCAGGCCAAGGGAAGAAGAAAACGGAATCGTCTTAAAACGGCCATCCTGGATTTAATAGCCTACCACAAAACCCTAAGCAGGTCAACTTCATGGTTCAGCAGTTCCTAAAAGCCTTGTCTACTTCTCCAAAGCTTATCGGTGACGGCTGGTATATAAGAGCTCCCAATGAGGACTGATTTATAGCACTGGAGGGCTTTGCAGTGACAAAGGAGGGCTGGGGTTCTTGAGAGCTTTCTGTATTTTTTTAGATCCCAAAAGATGATGTGGTTCTGTGATAGGAATCTCGTACACTTTACTGGTGACATAAACAGGTCACAGTGCCTGCAAAAGCTTATGTGGGAGTCAGGAGCAATCTCTCTCTCTCTCTCTCTCTCTCTCTCTCTTTTTTCTGGGTCACAGTCAGATTTTATTGAGTCAAAGTATCTAACTGAACACAAATCATGTGATAGGACCCAAACAGTGTGCATTAAAAATGAAGCAGAATGGGGCCAGGTTTGTCTCAAGCTGGTGCTGTAACAGGGATATGTTTCAGGCATCACTTGAATACAAATGAATTTTTTTTTTCCCCCTGCACTGACAAAAGTCAGGCCGGAAAAAAAAAAAAAAGTTAAAAAAAAAAAAAAAGAAACCCAAAACCACAAATCTAGTTTCATGCTGGATGTATCTGTTGTGAAGCAATATGTTGGCTAAATAGGAAAAGTCAGGTGAGTTAAAGTCTCGTGGCAGCTTGATTTAAACCATGGCTACACAAACCAGAGCCCTGTCCAGATCTCAGGAAAGTGAATTATATATAATAACACTTACAGTTTCCTAGTACTATTAGATTTGCCTTCTTACATAAATGCTTAAGTTATGATAAAAAACAGGGCCATGTCAGTTTCTTTCAGCCTCAGCACATTTGCTATTAGCATAAGAAATGCTGCTTATGGCAGAGCTAGTCGGGCTTGAAATTTCTGAATTAATGGATTTGATTTCCTCTTGAGACAAACCATCAGCCTTGCAGTAATGGAAATAGATATAGTTGGTAAAACAAATAAAAAGCTGGCATGCAGATAAAATGGGTTTCAGTTTAAAATAGTAATGTTGTAATTGAAGTGAACAATTACAGGGTTGCTCCTAGGCACAAAAGAAATACCATGAAAATGAAGTAATGTTTTTGTTAAGTATAGTCATTTCGTGAAAATGTAGAGCTGCAGATGTCATTGTCTGCCAAAGGGAAAACTATACTTATTCTTCTATACAAAGATCATTTAATAACATTTGGCTAATTTTAATAATAATTGCTAATATTAACCCTATATTTCACTAGGAGTTTGAAGACAAAGAGTCCCTGCCCCCGCCTGTTCTTTCCTTTCAGTTTGGTAGAGAGCCAACAAGAGCAAGTTCCTGTAAAAAGCTATTGGCAAGGAACTATCAGAAATCCCCACACCGGCATCAGCCTTCTCCTTTTAATGTCTTATTTCTCTTTCTTTGTCAAGCATCTGTTATCAGAAATGGAGCCTGTTAGCTGGCAACTGGAGTGGCAGGAGGGAGTGAGAATAAAGGAGGGGGTGGGGTGGAGACTGGGAACCCCAGCACAGGAAAGTAAGCTCTGGAATGTTCAAATCTGATTGAATCCCTTCCCTGTGTGTGTGTGTGTGGTGTGTGTGTGTGTGTCTGTTTCAACTTGTCTGTGAACCATATGAAATTCAAAACAGAAACTTCCATTTTTAGAACTTGAAATCTTTTCATGTTCATACACACACAAACTGAGGCAGCCAAGGCCACAGGATGTCACGAGAAACAGAAGTGTCTCATTGAGTCTGCAAAAGGCAGTGACACAAATTCACTCTAACAAAATGCTCAGCTGGGTCCCAGCCTACCACGTGGCCCTCCCTCCCACTCCTCCGTTTTATTGCAACGCAGGGAGAGACACGCACTCTGTTTCCTCCTCAGGTTTTAGGAATTAAAACAACACTGTCGCTCTGCAGAATTGTATTTGGAAATGCACCGCACTTTGTTCCCTACAACGCTGACTGCTTGCACACAGCCTTTTTTTGGGGGCTCATTTGGCATCTTTTATCAGAGGGAAGCACTTTTCCCGGGCTCGGTTTTTTGCTTTTTGTTTTTTTTTTTTTTCCTCCCCCTGTATTGCAGCAGAGGAGTGAGAAAATGAAAGTCCCCCCTAACAAAGGATTGAGCCGTGACTTCTTAAGAGAAAAGGTTAAATCGACGGGAAGAAGGGCCACTTCCCTTTTTTACTCCGTTGGAATAATTCATTTCCTAACGCGGCCTACCTGTGACAGGCACAGGTGACCTCCCAGCCTGCTAAGCTCCGATGATTTCCCCTGCCCGTTGCCCAAGTACAACTCCTGCCAGAAGACAAATGTACTGCAAGGCGGAGACATATCTGTAGGCCGAGGAAAAGCAGCCTGTCGACATATGTCATTTGAAAGCCTCGCGTGGAGATTTTACTGCTTTCTTCACACTCTCACACTTACATAAATACACCCACACGGTACAGGCAAGTCCCCGAGACTCCCAAGCGTTTCTCTTCCATTAGGAGACATTTTAAAACAAATTAGCACCATCCCCAAAAGCCCATTGGCCTAAAATGTGTTTATGGCTTTGTCTGCTGTTTTAAAAGCTCTTCCTAAAGGCTTCAAATAAGGCCGGGGAGTTCCTGCAGAATGAAGCACGCCCCTGTCTGTTGAGGAACATACACATCTGACAAAGACTTAAATCTTTCCTCCTCCTCTTCCTTTTTTTTTTTTTTTTTTCCCTCTTGACACAGCGGCTGGTGACACATAAATGTACTTTTTTCTTTTGACAGAGTAATAAAAATCTCATTATCTCTGAATAGGCAGCAATTTCGTTATCTAATCTTTTTACCAAAAGGTTAGTTAATTAATCAGAAACAAATCCCGATTATTATTTCAATAGAATTAGAAAGACAAATCACCAGAGTACAGCTAAATAGGGCAGGCCTGCGGTTTCACCTGCCTCATTGCCATGCACACCCCGTGATTGTCAGGGCTCCTCCAGGCAGACAGTCCTCGGAACAGCAGCCAGCAGATGGCTGCTCCGAGCGGCCAGCCTGCCTCTGCTCTAATGCCTGTGATCCCATTACCTCACTGAATCCGTTACCAGGGTAACTGTTAAATTGCTGTGAAAGGCATGGTAATAAAGTAACCTGTCACATTGGCAATAAAAGGAGCAGAATTTTCCTGTTCACTGAACTTTGCAGCTCATCAATACTCACTTGATGGAGAAATTCGCCACTACTCCAGGGTCCGCCGCAGGAATCTTTCCATAAGGCTTCTGAAATGCAAACTAAAGTTCATGTAAACACAAGAAAGATATAATTAAAAGCCGGATTCTTAGCTGCACAGAGCTCACGCTTCCCTCCTTTCTGTGGAAGGTTATGGAGGCTTGAAGAACATCAGATCGCTTTCTTTGTTGTTGTTGTTTTTTTTTAATTTAAAGCGTGCTAGACAAAAATAACCTTTGCTGGTGAAAGACAGCTGTGATTAATTCAAGACTGGGAAAACAAAGCACAAGGGGGAAAAAAATCCCTTGTTCCTAAAAATCTGTCTTTTTCAGATCCTGTCTTATTGGCTGTTTTCATTAAAGGGTCATGGTACTTTAAAAATTATTTGGATTTGAGCATTTAACAGTAAGAATGGAAAGCCTCGGTTTTAACAAGCCTGAGGAGTTGAAAACAACAATCTCCCCACCCCTCCTTCCCAGCCCAGCAGTTAGGGTCCATCAGCTGTAACTGCAAAGAGATAAACGTATGCTGAATGGATGCATATGACTTTGTCCCCACCGCACCCCCCGAACCCCCCCCCCCCCCCGCTTCTGTAAATGCCCTTCAAGGGTTTCTGTGTCAAGGATTCTAGTGGTGACACCATCAGACACAAGATTTGCTACAATTAACTGAGGTGCTTTAAGGTAAGAAACGAGAACAGCAAACACTCAGCATTACAGGAGAAGAAATAAATAGAAACCCCCATTTATTTCAATTACATTTTGCAGCCAGCCCTATGAACATACATGGAAAGTGGGATATATCTATCTAGCCCTCATTATTAGCCATTTGCAGACTTCATGCTTTTGGCTCCATTTGGCGCTGTCATTAATTAGGCAGTATTAACCTTAGAATGCGTTAGAGCTTGCCTATTGAAATAACTTTGGACACGCTTTTTTCTCTCTCCCTCCCTTTGACTTGCAAGTGCTTATAGCTTGTTATTGAAAAACTGACAGTATTTCTTTGACTAGCCGGCAGCAGACGTGAACCATTCTTCTAGTGGTAGCTACAACCCATGAAAGAGTCATCTTCATTACAGATTGCTCAGCATGGGATCACAGCCGAGCGTCTTTGGCTGGCCACGTCAGGTAGGGCCTTGGATTGGTATCTTAGAAATGATGGTGCTTTTCAGAATGAGGTAGCAATGTGCCGCGCATGGAAAAGTGGATGAGTTTTCAGCCAGAATCAGGCAAATGAAGGCTCTGGCTTTGTGATAACCAAATTTGTTTAAAATATGAACTGTTTTCTGTCCTGTTGAAAATAACTCTTAAACATGTGTGTGTGTGTATGTGCGTGTGTGTATATATATATACACACACGCACATACACACATATGCAAACACACACATACACAATCATGCATGACATAATTTGTAAAATGTATATTTTACTGCTGATGCTAAGTAGCAGAGAGAGTAGAATTGCAGAGGTAGCTGCTTGTAAACAACTTCCAGCCCACAAATGGTATGTTATCACTCCTATGAAGGTTTCCATGGGTGTCAGGAGGGGAGAAAGTCTTTTTTTACCTACAGATTACCTAAATAAATTTGGAAGAACACGATATAATATAAATAATCACCAAATATGAACTAGGCCTTTAGATCAGATTCCATAAATACCGACAGAGCCGGTGCATTGGGAGTAGAAAATGAAAGATGGTGACATTGTGGTCAACTGGATGATCCAGTTCCTCTCTAAAGATAACAATATTCATTACTCAACTGCCTTCCATTATTTCCATGTAGCTGAGGCAAGTTCACTGCTGTCAAAATATTTCGGCTTTCAAGAAAATCCTCAATTATAAGTTTTATTAGAACATTCCTATTTTTGAAATCCAACCGTATTAGTTTGCTAGGACTGCCATGACAAAGGACCATAGACTTGGGTATACTAAAATACAGAAATCTATTTTTTCACAATTCTGAAGGCTAGAAGTTTGAGATCAAGGTATCAGCAGTGTTGATTTCTTCTGAGGCCTCTCTCGTTGGTTTTGCAAATGCTTCTCCCTGTGTTTTCTTCACAGAGTCATTCAGTGTCTGTGTACTCATGTTCTCTTCTCAAAGGATGCCAGTCACATTGGATTAAGGCCCACCATAATGACTTCATTTTAACTTAATTATCTCTTTGAAGACCCTGTCTCCAAATACAGTCACATTCTGAGGTTCAGAGGGTTAGGCCTTCAATATATAATTTTCGTGGAGGACACAATTCAGCCTAAAACACCAGTAGAGGTCCAGACACAAGTTTACTGTAAGATGACCCTGACAATTATACAATGCTTTCAATGTAAAAGCAACTTATTTATGGGCCATTTTAACTTCTTAACTTACTGAATTCTCACAGTAACCCCATAAGGTAGACAATACTATGATCTCTCTTTTATAGATGAGACATGAAGGGAGAGAGACTAATTCACTCATGCAGTATCTGGTAGAGGTAGAATTAAAATTCAAGCAGTATCTGATGTTTCTGCTTAGACAGGACAGAGCTGTCCTCATGAGAAAATGCCCTCCTTGGACCCAGGAACTGTAAAGGAGAAGCACCTAACTGATGAAAGAGTCGGGACGCCAAGGTGGCTCAGTGGGTAAGCGTCTGCCTTTGGCCCAGGGCGTGATGTGATCCTGGGGTCCCGGGATCGAGTCCCGCATCAGGCTCCCTACATGGAGCCTCCTTCTCCCTCTGCCTGTGTCTCCCTCTCTCTCTCTCAGTGTCTCTCATAATAAATAAAAAATAAAATAAAAAGAGTCTTGTAACCCCTAGAAACATAAATCAAAAAAATAAAAATAAAATAAAACAAAACAAAACACACACAAAAAAACAAACAAACAAAAAAACCATAAATCATCCTCCTAAGAACTGGCTTCTATAAATGTCGTATGGATGCGTACCTATTTTTATACCAATGGGTCTTGCCAGGTCTTTCTGTTGCACCAACTGGATTTGAAATAACAAAGCAGTCTTTATCATCTAGAGAAGGTCCAGAGACTGAAGGAAAGCAGTGTTTGATTAACTTAGCACTCTAGTGCAAAATAGATCAGCATGAGTCTCTGGGGATCTGGGATAATCACCAAGACAAAGTTGGAAAACTTCTGGAAACACTATAATTTGTGTTTGTTTTGGCTATTGTTGCTGCTTACCCCTTCAGCCACCATTAGCCTGAAAAGTGAAACTGAAAAAAGTCTCGGCCTATTTATTTTCCAGATTTCTAAAGAAAGAATAACTTGGAGATCACATCGTATTTGGAAGTTACTCTTAGGAGACCAGGACCATAAGACTCATAGGTAGCCCTAAGGAGTAAAACTCTGCCCAGGAGCTTTACATAAAACTCAGAATTCTGTAAGAAAGAAGTTGGGGTTTTAGTATTGGTAGCTGAGGCTCAACCAGGTGAAGAAACCTTTGGGCATCTTCCTATTTGTTCTCTCTCTCTCTCTCTCTCTCTCTCTCTCTCTCTATCTCATAGGGTAAAGCAATAGAAAAAAAATTTTTTTTTCACATTTTCTCTTCCTGTTCCAATGAAATGAAGCAGTTTCTCCACAGGACTCATTATGCCTAGTTAACTGATTTTCCTAACCAGGCATTTTGGAAAAACAATCGAGCTCTGTGAACTTTTGGATGTTTTTCTCACTGCAGACTTGAGAGGCACACACCCACTGATTTTTGTATTTTTAGGCTATGTTATTTGAACACTGATTAAAGCAATTTTTTCATGCCTTCTATTGACATATAATTTTCTTCCCTGAGTCATTTTTCTTCACTTCTCCTATACTTGCATTGAGACCTAACAGGTTGAAACTGCAATTCTATGTGGAGCATCTGAAACTTAGCAGTGTGAGGCTATATGTAAAAATCGTTCATTATCGCAGGTCCAAACTGGAGCACCCTAATGGTGATGCATAACAACTTAGAGCAAGCTTTCTTCTCCTTAATGTGAGAAAAGACATTCAGTCTTTTCTGCCAAATGGTTATTTGATCATCCAAATCAGCATTTGCTCTAACTTGGCTGAAATCATGTCAGAGACTGAAGAGGAAGAAGCCTGAGGAAGGTGGGAGGGAACAAGTGAGACAGTTTTGGTTTGGCATAGTAACCTAAGATACAGAGGTGTTTTCTAACTGCATTTCTTCCCCTCAAATGCTCTTTGAAACAAAGTGCCCTAAAAAATAAAAACAAAAACAAAAAACAAGCTGTGCTTACTAGCTCTTAATATATTGGAATTTGCATGGATGTTCTCCTAGTCTGTTATTTGTCAGTACCACAATTTGGTCACAAGGTAACAAATTAACTCTAGGGTTTGGAACAAGGTTGATGTTGAAACATCTTAGCTACCTGCTTACAAGTTTTCAAAACCCAATAGCTATGCACCCAAGTAAGTAGCTGAAAAGCAGATTCATGGGTGTATATGTGTGTAAAGTCTAGAAATGTGTTATTCTATTATTATAATATTATTTGGTCACTTCTGGGTAGCAGGATTATAAGTAATTTTTCCTTTAATCTGTGTTCATTTCTTATTCTCAAGCAGTAGATAACAGATGTGAATGTAGATGACGTCCACATCTATATTTCCAGCCTCAACATCTTTAGCTCTTAGCTGTTTCCATCTCTCATCTAGCTATCCTAACCTGGAAAACTCAAAAGATTCTAAGCTGAACTCTTTATAGGATCCAAAGATTCCTGTTTCCCTTATTTCTGTTCATATAAGCACATTCCTTTCAGCTACTCAGATCTATAGGCTGGTGAATCTGAAGTCACTGTTGGTTTCTGGTCTCTTGCCTCTCATAAGTGATCAGTCAAGTCTAGGGGGTAGTATCACTGCAGGATCTATACATTACAGTCTTTCCTTGTATTATCTGCAGGACAAATACCCCTATTCTTTGTCATTTCTTACCTAACTCCCATGTGAGAGATCAATTAGCCAACTGGCTCTATATTTTTAAAATATATTTTCCCTCCCAAGTTATGATATCTGTAGAGTTTTATAAATAGCTCTGTCATAACCTCAGTAGGGGGTAATTAAACATATTATATAAAGTATTTTTCTTAGATGTGCTAAATAATGATGAGTAGTGCTCCCAATCTGTAAATTTTTTTTGAAAATTATAGACATTTTGAGCAGTAATCTTCATCCAGGATAATTAATTCTATATAAATT